TTATCATATCTATTTTGGAAGAAACATCACTTATGTCAGTGTCGCTAAGAAAGTCTATGAAGGAAATTTGTGGGTTTTCTATATTGGCAATACCTATAAAGCAAACATAAAGAACTGAAATGATAAGGAAAGAGAGTGATACCTTAAATATCTGCAGGTTTTGAAGGATTAAAAAGTTAAATTACCAAAGATATAGAAATGAAGGGCAAGAGAATGCATAAAGACTATTGGAAAGCAAATAGAAAAAGAGCTCATGAAGAGTGCTGGGAGATAAAAATCATAGAAAAGGAAAGATAGATTATGTCACACTGAAGTAAGAAAAGTGAAATGAATAACTAGTTGCACTCGTCAAATTTATAAGAAACCAAGCGCACCAAGATCTATAACCAGTGAATGAGAAAATGCTGGAGGTAACAATCAACAATCCATATGCAACCTCGATCTTACAACGACACCCGAGTACACCACCCTAAAGGCTTTACATCCCAAGCCTGTACACCTATATCCACGTGGATCCCCTCCTTGAATTAATGTTTTGGTTATGGGATAAACATTTAATGCATGTATTCTCGAGGCTACTGATTCCCACTAAACTCCTCAACTGACTCCTCATGTCCCCGAGGAACTTTTCAACAAAGAAATCATCTCCCTTACAGTTGGCCATAGCATTTCTATAGCAAATATTAGCTTCATGTTTGATAGCAAGTATGGGTGAAAATAGGCTGGGCCGAGCTAGGCTTTGCCAAGTCTGACCTGCAAAAAAATAAAAGCTTAAGCCTGGCCTATTAGAGGCACATTTTTCGGCCTGAGCCTAGCCTTTTCGAAGGCCTGATTAGGCTATTAGTCTACTTAAAAAGCCTATATCATTTGAACATATGTAAATAAGCAACTAATGTTAAAATATACTAGAGAATCAAAATTACAATGAGACTAAATGTTTATTTACATAGACTTATTTGAGCTTACATAGAAACATAAGTTTTGTGAGATTATTTGCTTAGGAGAACTTGTGAAAACAACTTATGACATTATTCATAAAAAATTTTCAACTTATTTTTACAAGTTCTTCAAGATAACTAAACTTTACTTTTATATTTTAATATAAAATAAAAAATAAATATAAAAAATAATATATTTATTTATATTTATTAAAATATGTCGGTTTAATAGGCTTAAAAAGTTCTTTTTATGACACGTGATCTGATATATTTAACTAAATAGGCTTATAAAAAAGCCTAGACATTTTCTACTAAAAAAACTTGACTTTGGTCTGTGTAGACTGTATGCCCCTATTAGCTAGCATGACTTATTTCCACCCCTAATAGTAAGAATTTATTGGACAACTATTTCAGACTAGTCAAACAACTCAATAAGATTAACCATAATTGGAGGCTCAATCCACTTAAACTAACGAACAAGTACACTCTCACAAGACAATCCCACACTAGAACAAGACATGGTTCCATCTCAAATGTTGGGCTCATTCAACGGCCCTCCATACGAAAAATTTCTCTTATCCAAAACATTTGCTCTTACCCAGAGCGGTTCTAACTCTCATTCTTATATAAGTGTCATTCAACATACATCAAAGTATATGAATGGTTACAAATATTTACAAATATATTTTTAATAATTATCTTAAAATGTGATATTATAATGTGATTATATATATATATATATATATATATATATATATATATATATATATATATATATATATATATATATATATATATATATATATATATATATATATATATATATATATATATATATATATATATATATATATATATATATATCATTATATATATATATATATATATATATATATATATATATATATATATATATATATATATATATATATATATATATATATATATATATATATATATATATATATATATATATATATATATATATATATATATATATATATATATATATATATATATATATATATATATATATATATATATATATATATAATGTTAATTGCTATAGCTTTTACAAGGTACTTTGTTACTCATCCTTCAATTTACAAAGATATTAAATCATTATATTTTTAAATCAATTAAAGATTAGCACGATTGAAACAAGATTCGGGATTTATAGAGTCCAAACCCTTCAAAATTTCTCATTGGATAACAAATATGGTTTAAAAGTAAATTATATATATATACACACACGTTTGTGTGTAAAAGAGGATACTGCATGCAAACAACAATTCACTGTATAAAATTATATGTCCAATAAAAATGTGTCAAAGAGGATGAAACACAAAATGCTTAGTTTCACCATTTATGATAAGACACGCACGCTTATGTGTGTCAAGTAGTGTAGATAGAATAAAAGGAAAACTAGCTAGGGAAGCCCACTAAATATAGAAACATAGAAACATTAAATAGTAAAAAATAGAACACAACAATTATATAAAAATATCTCTAAAGATTCGAATCAAAGAAAAAAAAAATCTTTGAATTTAACCATTACTAACATCTTATATATTTTTAACAAAACAATCCTTTTAGTTTTACTACTATATTAAAAAATATTAAAGAAATGTGGGCGATTCTAATTTAGTCATATAAGATTAGTCTTGTAAAATCAATTTTATAGGATGATGATTGTTTCAACTAATAAACATATACATGTGATGTCGAAGTCATATATTATCTGATGAAAGATTCTTACATACTCTATTACGTCTAGTTAGATATCTAGATCATAGAAATAAATGATGGATTTCAATAGCATAAATTTGCTAGCATGTGACTCACTAGATTTTAAATTGGACTCTTAATACTATGTTAATAAATGTAATTGAACTTAACTCAAGCATACAAATAAATATCAAGCATCATTATTATAACAAAGTTTAATATATTAGGCCTCAATGGTATATTAAGAATGTAATAGTTTCTAATGAACTTATGATATGAGTGCCTAAAGGTCCCATAACTAACCTATAAGGATCTAGTTGAGTACCTAAATTATCTTATTTATCTTCAATGTAGTCCTACAACTACCTATAGGACTAATTATTAATTATTTAAAACACATGACGTAGACGTCTCATATGGAGACAATATCAAGAGTCATTATTACAACATTGAAGAAAACACATGTTTAAATCATATATTGTATGAATAAGACTTTTAATAAAAAAATTAATTTTGACATATTACTTTACATATCAATTAATTTTAAAATTATGTTAATTTTATAAATAAGATCTACTATAATATTTTTAAAGTTAAAATGTTTTTAGTCCCTCTAAATATAAGCTATTTTATTTTTAGTTCCTCAAAATTTTCTTTAAAGAATCGTCCTCATAATATTTATCGTCCACACTTTTGGTCCTTAATATTAAGTCTGTTTAATAAAAGGTGATATGGCAGTACATCTGACATATATTTGAAAGTTAATAGTAAAATGCATGTCACTTAGGTTTTTACCGAGGATTTACTACTTCATTACTGCAATGTAAATGTTAAATTAAAATTTCCATTTTTTTTTTAGAAACTAGGGTTTAGCCAAATCACATTTCATTGTTGTGACATCTCTTGCTCACCATTGATCAAAGTGAAAACCTTTCATTGCCAATGACATTACAAAGTTAACTATTATATACCAAAGTTTATGGTGTGGTCCTTGAAGTGGGTAGGTCATTGAAAGTTGTAGTCCTTGAAGTTTCATTTGGTGTGTTTCAGACAGGTTTGTCCCACATGTCTCTTTCTCTTTTCCTTTTTTAAGGACTGTTTATTTTTGCTCTGTCCCACAATTTAGGGTTTCTATATTGAAATTGCAAACCAATGGAATAGAATAACAAAACATTGCCTTTAGTTTTCATTTGATCGAAATTGCTTTATGGTAGTTACACATTGATGTTATATTGACTGAATATTTAATGCCCACTTGATACTTTCTTGACTGAATTGTTGTAGTTATGTAAAATTATTACCAAATTTACCCTTTACCATTTATGTAATGTATAGGAGATGAAATTATTTAAGGTGATATTTTACACTATTAGTTGTTTTGTAAAAGACCCTAAGTTAAGATATGAAGGTAGGGATTTCTATGCATACAATGGACAAAACACTGATTACTGTTCCTTTTTTGAAGCTCGTGATCTAATTAAGGCTATGGATTCAGAGTTTAATGTTTATGGTGTGAAAATATGGTGAAAACATGAAGGTGGTAGTTTGGATGAAGTTAAGTGAGATAGATTTAAATGAAGTAGTGTCAGATGTATACAAGTTGAAGAACAATAATAAGATGAAGTTAAATGAAATAGTGTCTGATGTAAGGTTGAGATTTACTATTGAGATTACTAGTTGTAGGTCTGTCAAAGCTAGACAGCTTGCTAAACAAATTGTATAAGGGGACTCAAATAAGCAATATAGTATATTATGGTCATATGTAACTGAAGAGGAGGGCCTAGGGCCTCACCAAGAAACATATTCATATTAAGCATTAATAGACCTGGAATAGGCTTGCAATCAAGATTTGAGAAATGTTGCATGTGTTTTGATGGGATAATTTTTATTTTGTATTATAAGTATAATTTTTTTATGAGATTAAAAGATATTTTTAATGATTTGTCTTTTCTCTTAATGATACATGATTTAGTGAAAATAACAATTTAATTTTAACTTTTCATTTTTAAATCTGATAGTTCTTATTCATTCTCACATTCTCATATAACTTACTCATTCTCACTAGATATGTCTCATATATATACACACTAGTCAGAATTTTTTAACGAGTTTTCCCAAATAAAATAAACAAATATGAATTTTTTTAATTTATTAATATCAAATTTATTTATCATCTATAAATCAATAGACTCGTGAGAACTCATGGCATCTTAACTAAAATGTGCATATACCACTCACTACCTTCCTACTGTTTTGGTTATTTATAAATACCTTCCCATTTGACATACCTTGAGACCAAACCAGTTATTAAATTTAAAACAACACAACACAACCATGAAGAACAACTTTGCCAAAAACTCACAACATCTTTCTACTTTCTTTCCTAACAATTTCCAATTCAACAACTTCTTCATTCAACTCTTTTATTTCATTCTCCTTTCTCTCTTTGGTTACTTGGGCCTCAAGTTTTCAAACCCAAGATCATCTATTAAACCAAATGATCTTGATCTCTTTTACACCTCCGTTTCTGCTTCCACTGTTTCTAGCATGACATCAATAGAAATGGAAGTTTTCTCTAATTCCCAACTCATTCTTCTCACCTTTCTTATGTTAGTTGGTGGTGAAGTTTTTACTTCCATGCTTCAACTTTTTCTTGATAGGTTCTTCAACTTCACCAAAAATCATTCTCTCAAAAATGAAGCCCCTCCAATTAATATTAACCAAATTGAACTTGGCTTAGTTTCTATTCCTCAGTCACAAAACCATACACAAAGTGATGATTATAATATTTACAATAAGGATAAAACAAAGTATAATTCTCTTAGGTATTTAAGTTATGTAGTTTTGGCTTATCTTCTAATTATTCATTTTTTTGGTTTTATTTTTGTGACTTTGTACTTAACCTATATACCAAGTGCAAAAAATGTACTAAAAAACAAAGGCATCAAGATAGAAACATTTTCCTTATTTACAATAGTTTCAACATTTGCAAGCTGTGGCTATGTACCAACCAATGAGAACATGGTTGTTTTCAAGAAGAATTCAGGTCTTCTTCTTCTAATACTTCCACATGTACTTTTAGGTAATACCCTTTATCCACCATGTTTGAGGCTTTTCATAACACTTTTGAAAAATGTTACAAAAAGAGAAGAATTCTCTTACTTATTGAAGAACTCAAAGGAAATGGGTTATGACCATTTGTTATCTCCTCTTCATTGTTGGAACCTTGTTGTCACTGTCTTTGGTTTCATTGTGATTCAATTTGTATTATTCTGTTCCTTGGAGTGGAGTTCAAGGATTATGGAGGGTCTTAATCTGTATCAGAAAGTGGTTGCGTCTTGGTTTCAAGTTACAAATGCTAGACATGCTGGTGAATCTGTTTTTGATATTTCCACTATCTCTTCAGCTATATTGGTGCTCTTCATTGTCATGATGTAAGTTTCTTTTAACAATTCAATACATTTCGAAATTTTTAAATAGTATACTAAATTAATTATTTTAATTTATCGTGAAAGGAAAATTGCTTTGCATAAATTCCATTTTCCCACTTACATGGAGGATAGAACTAGAATATATGATAGCTAGATTTGACGACTCACAAAAGAAATTCTAACATTTGACATGCACATAGCAATTATTATATAATATAAGAATTATGCAATGAATTAAAGAGTTTGGAGAATCAAATAAGTTATTATAGACGTGTTTGAATATTGATTGGAAATTGTAACAGGTATCTCCCACCATACACAACATTTTTACCTGTAAGGGACCACACAAATATTGATGTGAAGAGAGACCAGAAAAGCTTAGTGGAGTGTCTTGTATTCTCTCAACTCTCATATTTGGTTATTTTTATTATTCTCATTTGCATCACTGAGAGAGAGAGCTTAAAAGAAGATCCCTTCAACTTCAATGTCTTGAATATCACCCTAGAAGTTATCAGGCAAGTTACTTTCTCTCCAATTATCTTTTCTGCTAGAATATTCTTTTCATAAGAGTAGAATATCTTTTTATTGATTAATTTAAGTTATTCTTTTATATTTATATGAAATATAGGGCATTCAATATGGCCCTACGGTGGAATTTAATATTTGTTATGTGATAGAACTAAAATTGTTGGGGACATGGGAGCATTGATCTAAGGGACGATGTATTGGACTCCTTGTACGATAACGTGAGACATATATATATATAAGGTTATCGTTTTAATATATAAGTCAGGGTGTGAAGAACAAGAAATGAAATGAATTATGGTTAAGGTTAATACCTTAATATGTGTTAGATAGGTCCAAAACAATTGCCCTTTAAAATTTGTTGTGCTATAGCGTTTCGAAAGCCTTTTAGAAAATTGAGTTGAATCTTCTATGCCATAGTCTTTATGTAGAGAAGTGGAATAAATCTGGAGGACATGTGCATTAAATGTTATTCTTACTATTGAGATGTTTCACAAGAATTCCTTACACGTGGTCCTAGGTTAGTAGGTTAGGGTGTGACACCTCCATTTATGAAGTTTGAGTGCACTCAAGTGCCGTTTTATTTTTTAGACAAGATCTGACTGTTGCTTTTCATCTTCTCATTTTCTTTCATTTTGGATCGTTGATTTATTAACCTTGCTTTGCTATATATAAATTAATTTGATATTTTAAACAATTTTCGCATGTTATAACTAATTGAGGCTTACCTTTCTCTCTATAAGCTCTTTCCTCATTTCCTGAACTCTAGTGATCTTTAATTTCATCATCTTCTCTTTTAAACTTGATTATACGTTCACTAATTTACTATCATATTCAAACTTTGCTAGTTTTTATCTACTTCTTTCCTTCCTTCATTCTCTTTTCAGGTACTATATCCATCTTCGTTTTTTGCTTTTTGTTGTTTTATTTTCTTTTTATTCATTCATTTCTATAATGGTCAACATGGAAAATATAACTGCAAATATGATCAATAACATCGATAGTGTTATTTCTTCATCATCCACCGAAATTGAAAACTCAAATGTTCCAAATGTAGACCTTTTAGATGTCAAACGACCCAACCCCAATCTTATCGTGCTTAGTGATAGTCCTAGATTTGGTGTGGGTTTCGTAGAAGTTGGGTAGAAACCCTCTAGCGACTCTTTCGACGAGAGTACTGATCTGTCTTTTGAAAAGAGTGAATGTATTTTCTGCTTTGGGTGTGAGAACCCTCACATATTTGTCCTTTAGAAAAGGATTTTTTTTAGGTTGAGGTGTATGAGTGTTGTGTATAAACATTTTTTAGTCTCGATTCCTAAACAATGTGGGACTATTTAGATTGATCCGAAATAGTTTTTCCTCCGTCGAGACTAAGGGGCAAGGTGCAAACTTCGAGTTCCCACAAACATCGTCATTGTTCCATAATGAAACCAAAATTGTTGGTGACATGACATAGTTGATTCAAGGAATAGTTCACTAGACTCCTATTATAGTGGTGTGGGGTGTATCTGCAAGGTTAACACTTCAATACCCAAGTTTATAAGAGAACAAAAGAGAATTGAATGAATTATGGTCAGCATCATACCTTAGACTGCACATATAATCTCTTATATATGGTATATGATAACTAGACTTATACTGTATTGAGCATGTGGCATACCCAATACACTATTTTTCATAAATTTTATAAAATATTATATTTTTTACTATCAATATTAAAGATCTATTTTTAAACACTTTTTTTATAAAGATTGATATTAGATTGATATTCTTAATATAATATTTCTTTACTAATTTTTTTATATATACATTTTTAGAAAATAAATCCAAATATAAGTATTTCTCTTCAAATTATATTATATCTATATAGAAAATATATGTTAGAAGAGGTCAATCACTTAAATAAACTTAAGTTATTTTAAAAGATTAGTTTTAATAGTTGTTTCACAATGGATTCCATAGTTTATAAAAAAATAATTAGATTTAATTTATCTTATATTAGCTTTGACAATTATTTTTTCTTGTCATTTTTTCTGCTAAGGTTTGAAGGAGTATTGTTAAATTTGGAGGAGATTCATGTGGGGTGGGGTGAATGTTGTTTCCTATTATGTTACATCCACTTATAAAGCATTTTAAGGCGAATTATAGTTTCATTACTTTCTCCAATATATATAATACATGATTTGATTTTTTTTTACAAAATATTGAGATAGTGACATTTAAAGGATATTTGATTATCTGATCTAATGACTATAAGTTAAGTATATTATAATTTTAAATATATTTACAATTAGTAAACTTAGATCTAATCGGATTGTCACATATCCTTTGACTCCATGAGTGAGTGCAGTCATTAACGGTAAGAATATGAGTTCTACACAAAATGTGTAAGATGAAATTTTAAATACACTTGTAAAGAAATAGAGACATTAAATATACTGTGTTTTATTTTTTTATAAACACAAAAACTACAAATTACATGATTTTAACTTTTAAGAGCTATAGTATTTAACATGCAAAATACTAATGAATAATATTGTGTGCAGTGCCTATGGGAATGTAGGGTTTTCGACAGGATATAGCTGCTCAAGACAATTGAAAGCCGATCCAATGTGTAAAGATTCATGGATTGGATTTTCGGGTAGGTGGAGTACAAGAGGGAAGTTTATACTTATCTTGGTCATGTTCTTTGGGAGGCTCAAGAAATTCAATATGAATGGAGGCAAAGCTTGGCACCTCTCTTAAATATATGAGTGTTTGGTACTAGTTCGTTGATGTTGTTAGAATAATTCCAGTTGCAAGTTATTATGCATTAGGTTATTAATTAATTAAAAGAGTCTATTATTTCCATTTAAATTAGAAGTAGTCAAAGTCTGTTATTTTGTGCTTGCCGCACATTTAGGAGTGGGCTAGTAGTCAGTTAGGATCAGCCTAAAATTGTGGAAAAGTTGTTTAGCCTGTGGCTATTTATTCTGTCATTAAAATTCAATAAAACTGGCAGTTTGGTTCAAGATATTACACATTGTGGTATCAGAGCGAGGAACAAACTGTAACCTAAAAAAAAAGGTGATTGAGAGGATTTTCATCATGACTGAGAATAGTCATTTTGCACAGGTATGCCTACCTATGTTCGACGGTGATTACGATCACTATAGCTTGTTGATGGAGAACTTGCTCAGATCTAAAGAGTTCTGGGGAGTTGTCACTGATGGTTTCACTGAGCCGGCGCAGGGAGATACGCTTACTCCTGCTCAAACAAAGGCGCTGGAGGATATAAGGTTGAAGGACTTCAAAGCAAAGAATTATCTTTATAATTTAATCGACAAGACTATTCTGAAGACTATCACCAAGAAGAGTACTGCCAAAGAATTGTGGGATTCTATGAAGAACAAATATCAAGGCAATGCAAGAGTCAAGAGAGCACAATTGCAGACTCTTAGGAGAGATTTTGAAGTGTTGGAAATGAAAGATGGTGAGTCAATGAATGACTATTTTAGAAGAGTCATGGTGGTGGCAAATGCTATGAGGAATTGTGGTGAAACAATGGATGATGTGAAGGTGGTTGAGAAGATTCTTCGCACCCTAACAGAGAGATTCAATTATATTGTCTGCTCTATAGAAGAATCAAAAGATATTGACACCCTCACGGTTGATGCACTTCAGAGTTCATTGTTGGTACATGAACAGAAATTCAACAGGAAGAGTGGTAAAGATGACCAGGCCTTAAAAGCTACTCATGACTATGGTGGCAGAGGTGGAAGAGGAAATGGTAGAGGAAATTTTCGGGGCAGAGGAAGAGGTAAGGGAGGAAGGCCCTGGAACCGTGATACAGTGGAGTGTTTCCATTGCCACAAACTCGGACACTTCAAAAATGAATGTCCTAATTGGAACGCTCAAGCAAATTATTCTAATGCAGGATATCATCATGATGATATGACAGAGGAAGTCCTCCTTATGGCGACTATTGAAGAAGTGCAGAGCAGGAATGAAGAAGTGAGCTTAATGGTTTATGGAGATCAAAGCTTTGAGAGTCAGCAGAACTGGTGGTTCCTAGATTCTGGATGCAGCAATCACATGAGTGGAACCAAGGAATGATTGTTGCACCTCAAAATTTGACCAACAGGGTCTCGTATCTGGCTCGAGGTTTCGACGCATAACCGCATTCGCATCTGCATATTGCATACAGTGCATTTTTCATTTGTTTTGATTTTATTGGGATCACAGCTCTCGTCTCGCGTCTCAGGTGGTTTTTATCAGTTCAAATAGGTAGAATCGTATTTTTGGGATATTTCGGTGCCCGTTTATTTTTACCGGCTATTTTGTTGCGCTCTCGCGGTGTTATGTGTCGTTCGGTGCTTATTTTGTTCTTCTGGGATTTATTGTGTTTTTCTGGATTTTATTGGATATTTTTAGGGTTTAAATAGATTTTTTAATCATTTTAGATATTTTTAATAGTTTTAATCTTTTTTAGAATTTTATAAATAGCATTTTTCATTTCTAGAATATTAATTGAATTTTTGAATATATTTTTAGATATAGAATATTGATAGGTTTTAATTTTTTTAATAGTTTTTAGAATTTTTAGGATTTAATAGGATTTTTAATAGTTTTAATAGCTTTTAAAATCATTTTTAGATTAGTGTAGAATATTAGTGAATGTTTCTTTTAGCATATTAAATAGAATAATATGAATTTAATAGAATATTAGGTTTTATTAGATTTTCTTTTAAATAGAGATTTCATCATAGAATATAATATAGTTTTATTAGAGATTTATTAGAATTTTATTAGTGGGTTTATTAGAATTTTTTAGAGTATTATTAGTTTAGGAGTTAATTAGATTAATTGAGTTTTAGAATTAATTAGAATAATAATCAGATTAGTTAATTCAGTTAGTTAATTAGGATTAGATTTAATTCATTTTTCATTAACCATTATTATGCAGCTTTTTGTGAGTTTTTTTTCAGTCATTTTCGTTTGGGCCTGCATCTAGTTTTGTCCACGTTAAGCCCAATGAAGTCCAGCTTTTTCCAGCATTTCCCAGAATCTTCTAGAACGTTCCAGAATCCCAGCCAGTATAAAAGTCCAGCGCCACGTGTTAAGCAAAGGGCTGGCCACATTTCACACTCAGAGGCTGGCCCCACGTTTTGTCTTCACTCCCACGCCACCTCACGCCCTCAGTTCCCTCTCTCCATGCCACGCCAGGCCCCACGTGGCGCACATGCGTTAGCCTCCCCCATTATCTCTGCCACGCCACCCTCTCCCTCCACCAGCTGCAGCCACGTGGCAACCACCAAGTCCTCGCCTGAGTCATTCACCGGTCGGCCTGCATGGCCGGCGACCACCGCAGCTCACCGGAGAACCTCACCAAAAATGCAGAAAATCCCCTGAATCCACAATCTTCATCTTCTCCGGTCATAAGCTTCATCCAACTCCGACCAAGCTTCATCATCATCAACGAACTTCAGATCAACAACAATCCTCTTCAACCTCCGATCAACATCCAGATTCAACTGATCATCACCCTCCAAGCATCATCGAACCATACAGGTAGAACCTCATCTTCCTCCGATTCAACTTTGTTCATCCTTCCCAGAATCAAACTTCCTTCCACGATCTTCATTAATCTCGCCGGAGAACAAATCCCCAGAACTTCATTGTTCTTCATGAACATGCATCAGCCATCAAGAATAATTTCCAGAAAACGATTTCAACAAGACTCCGACAGAAGAGCGTCATCGTTCAACAATTCAAGAACGAACTTCCACGAACATCACCAGGAATCATCATCTAACCGTCAACTGTACACGCTTTCCAGAAAGCTCTTCGAATCACCAAAGTATTCGTCCTTCAAGATCCAAAATCTCCAGAACGCAGCTTCAAGAACATGCGCACTCGATCTCCAACCACCAGAGCATGCAAGAAGTTTCATCAGATCTTTACGTTCGTCATCATCCCCAGAAATGGACAAAGAACAATTTTCCAGAAGAACATACAAGAACTTCATCTGATACTTCTGTTGTTCTTTCATCTCCAGATCTATAATGAACACCATGGATGGTCATCAGAGCTTCGACGCTTCGAAGCTTACTCAGAATGAGAAACTGCGAATGTCGTGATCTTGATGATTCAATGTTGGAGGCTTGTTTGCAGGAGATGATGGTGGAAGAATAGTTGAGCAATAGGGAGTTTGAGACGTGAAGGCTGAGAAACGGAGGGTTTACGGCGGCGCGGTGCAAGGGAGAAGAAGGAGAAAAGGTTAGGGTTTCAGAATGAAGAGAGGAAGGAGAAGGAAGAGATTGGGCTGGATCCAGGCCCAATCAAATTTTCGGAGATGCCACACGCCCCCTCGTTTTTGGCCGTGAATGGGCTGAGCCCAATACCATTTCCCAGCTGCACACTGCGTTTTGCCCACATATCCCCCAGTTTCTTTGTTGTTTGTTTTTTTTCTTTTCTGGGCTGGGCCCAATCTTGTTTTTTTTCTTTCTTTCTGCAGACTAACCCCCAGCTGGGCTGGGTACCCCCCTCCCCTCTTTTGTATCTTTTTTTCTCTATGTTGATATTGTTTAGTTTTTATTATTGAAAAACAATAAAGAAAAATATTATAAGAAAAAGAAAAATAAAGAGAAAAATATATTGGAAAAAGAGAAAAATATGTGAAAAAATAAGAAAGAAAAGAAGGAAAAAAGGAAAAAATATTAAGGTAGATTTAATATTTTTTAAAGCATTTTTCTTTTAGGATATATTTTCATAGAAATTCTTTTACGATTTTAGGATAGTTTTAAAAGTCCATTTGTTAGGGGACTATTTTCCATTAGTTTTTTTCCATGATAGTTGGATAGGATATTTTTTAGGAGTTTATTTTCCTGTACTCAATCATTGTAATTTTCCAAATATTAATAAGACGAGATTTGAGTTGTGGTCCCGAAGTAGCTGAACTACAGCTGCTCTGATTTCTCGTACCAGACGAGAATATGTAGGCATAGGATGCGATATCCTAGCGAGCACACTAACAACTGACTTTCTGTTCTCTCGCTGCTGTGCGATCGAGACTTTCCCGCTGACGACTAACTGAACCCTTTTTTCTCTCTTGCTCGAGGGCATTTGAGACCAAGCCATAGTTTTGCCCATAGGTTCCCGACCCTGTGAAACCAGTTGTTTTTCTCACTGCTGTGTGAGAATACCTTTGTTTAGCCGTAGTTAGCCTGAACTACGTAAAGCTCTGATCTTCCATGCAGTGTGGAAGTACGTAGGCACAAGACGCGAGGTCTTGGCGAGCCAATTTTCCCTGTAGTCCCGAACTACGTTGACTCTGACTTTCTTTCTCTTGAGAATACGTAGGCATAGAGTGCGACGCTCTATCGAGTCAATTCCCTTCCGTTTAGATTTAGCAGCCGTAGATAGATTGTTTTGCATCCTTTAGACAACCCAAGCAAGCGTGGATCCCGTCGAGTACGACGGACGTGAGGGGTGCTAATACCTTCCCCTTGCGTAACCGACTCCCGAACCCAGGTTTTGGTTGCGATGACCATACCTTTTCCCCGTTTTTTTGCGAGGTTTACTTCGAGCGTTTCCTTTCCCTCCGTTGGGATAAATAACGCACGGTGGCGACTCTTCTGTCAGCCGGCGCCAATTTTCGCAGTAGCGACAATGATTTGTCACTCTTGATGAGAAATTTAGGCGATCTGTCAAGTTGGGAAATGGCGACAAACTTGAAGTTGTAGGCAAAGGCAGTGTAAGGCTGG